CGTTGTCTTCTCTGCAGGTACGCAGCACTTCCTTCCGCAGTGCAGCTATGGCGGACTCTTCTTCTTTGGCGCACTTCTGCTATGGCGCGTGGAATAGCGGGAACGAGCTCCGATACCAATGCAATCAGACTCGCTTTCTTCTTCACATACATGCAAGCAGATGTCAATCCACGCTGGCGCTGTGCGCCCACACAAAACTCAGAGATATTCAAGTCGAGAACACAGTTTGGATACAAACTCGCTTCCACTTGCTATGGCGCCTGAGCGCTCACACATCCTCTGTCCAACACTGTATTCACACAATCGTTTGCACGTACTCGACTCTGGACCTCCCTGGATATCCCACGCACACCAACTACGTACAAAACACACACGCACACACGCTGAACTCTGCCTCTAAGCTACGGCGGCTATGGCCACCCTACTACTACTGGCTATAGACAAACTATCTTCGTTCAGCCCACTTCAACCTCAGGCTTCTGCAGACCACCTGGCACAAGACGCCTGGACAGCGCTTCGCCATGGCTCACGCAGGAATGAATGAATGGCTGGATACTGCCTCTTGATTTATGCTTCTGTAAGTCGCTGGTCTGCCCTTTTCCACCGGGCCCATGGTGCACACAGTCCCTCATCGTACTTGCCGACTGTACAAAGTAAGACTGGGACTGGGTACCACTGACTAAGCGAGGTTGGACTCACCACATGCCTACTTGCCTCTGGTCTGCTGTGAATAACATGAGAAAAACTTGAAAGGCCACTTCCAGACCTTCCGGAAGTCTGTGGACTTGGCCTTTCGGGACTGTAGCAGCTACGACCTTGACCTTTCAGGACTATAGCAGCTACGACCTTGACCTTTCAGGACCGTAGCAGCTACGACCTTGGCCTTTCAGAATTGCTACAGCTACGGCCTCTACACAACTATGACCCCTAGTCGACAGATCTACAGATCGAACCCCTACAGCTACACAGACCTGCGACAAGCAACAGTCAACTACTAAAACACAGGTCACGGGTTCAAACACACAGGGGTCGACTCAATACTGTACACGGGTGTGGTAAGGTCTAGGGATCGAGCCCTGGGATCTGCGTCTGCTACGGCTAAATTGAAAACCGTTTCAAAAGAAGCGGGGGAAAAGAAAACACAAGCCTGAGCTCTCTTAGGCTTGGGGTCGTTGCCAAGTAGTCCACCCGAATGAAAACCATTAAATAGTATTCACTGAACCCAACGTGTTCGGACTTGCTGGTGGAATAGGAACCGAAGTGACGGTCCCCAGAATAAGATTAGGAGCCAGAACCATTGGAAAAAATTTAAGTGTTCTGGAAGGAGGGGGGGATCATCTCCAGAGGATGTGACACTTTTTGTACACTGGTGGTTGCTTGCAGGAGGATGTGTCAGTCAAGGGAGGCTCGCCTTCAAACAGAATTCCGAGACGTCCGCTACGGGTTGACCTATCGAGACTGGAGGTGATGTTTTTTTTTTTGTTTTTGTTTCTGGTTTTGTTTTTTGTTTTCTTGGAAGACTTATGTTTCTCCTTTGGTTCCATCAGGATTTGAACTCAGGTGACCGACGGGCCTGGCTCAGTTGGTAGGTACACCCATGAATTGTTGAAATACAGACCCGAGTCTGAATCCAGATGTGATCAGGTGAACTGAAATTAACCAAGTACTCGTCAAGTGCACCTTGCACACATCAATGAACATTCACATGAGAGTTCACACGTGAGAAGCCAAATCGAGATACAATCAACACTCGAAGATGTTGTCATCAATATTATTATCAATATACAGAGTGTTCGTCTCCAGCGGCTCTGCCACTCACCCACGCACACAACGGATCTCAATCAGGTGGCAGCTACGGCTTCTCTCTCCGCTCTCTCTCTCTCTCGCCTTGCTTCTCTCTCTGACT